GGCTACAACATTTAAAACAACAACAAATTTTGCTTAAAAAAAGGGGTATAGTTTGTGTAGCTTATTGATCCTTCCTTCAGACAAGAGGCTAATTGCAGGATTGTTTGATTGCTCAGCTAATGCTCTGACCAGCAGCACTTTACCATTTTCTCATGGGGAGTGCCAAGGTAGCTATATAAAGGGGCTGAAAATATTTGGGTGGGGTTTTGTTTTGTTTCAGCTGGGGACGTTTTAATACAAGTGCACCTGAGAGGCAGTCTTTGGGAACACTTGGTTCTGAATAGGTAATTGTTCATATTGAACTGGTTTGTATTTTTTCAAATGCCTGTAATTAACTAGACTTGAGAGGCAGAATGAATTGATTCTTTTTATGAATCATATTCTCTATCCCCTCTAGTTACAGACCAAGGTACCATCATATCAGGATGTGTGCAGACAAAACAAAAGGAAGTCCCAATTCCTGAAATCTGATTATATCTTTGTTTTCTTTTCCTAACTGGTAGATAATATACACTAACAGTCTACACCCTTCCTAGTAAAGACAACACAAAGATATCAAAAAAAAGAATTAATTTGAGGATAGATTTTTTTTTTTTTTAAATCAACAGAATCTGTGTCTTGGGAAAGAAATACTAATTTTTTGTCAGTAGTATGATTCCCCCCCCCCCCAGTGGATGGTAAATGTAGCCTTTCACAAATCCAAATCTTTCTTGCATGTCAGAGCAAAGGACGTTGCAGCAGATAGTCAGTGCTGAGCCATGTGTTACTATGAACTGCTAAAAGTCACAATTGATAAAAAGCTGGTGTGCAGAACGTGACCAGGCTGAGAACTTTATTATAGAAATGTAAGACCTGCCAGCGTGGAGTATGTGGTCTGATCTGTTGTTCGCTGTGACAGAGACCAGTACCAGCCCCTCCTGAGTAATGACAGGCAAGAGTTATGCTTGCCAGCGTGCTTACCCCTTTTTTGCATCTCCGGGTAGGTCTTTGGGACTGCTTTATATATACTCCTGGACTTTATAAGCAGGAACTCAGATCTGGAGATGTTTTTGCCAGTCCTGGGAGGACACAAGCCCAGTCTGGAAGGTGCCACAGTCTTGACGCAAGTTCCACTGAGACCATGCAGTAGTTTCATGACATTGTTCTTTGCAAAATCATGGACACCCCTGTAATCTTTGTTTCTGTGACCTTATTTGCAAGTTCAGTAATTTAATTCTTTTCACTATAATCCCTGAGGATGTTTCTTTGCTCCTGATTGTTTTTCCTGCCCTTCTCCAATCCATTTCTAATTCAGAAAAATGGATACAGAGTAACAAGCCCTGTCCTGCAAAGCTGGGAGGTTTGTTTCATCTCTACTTCTCCCACCCTAAGAAAAACCTCTTCACAGGAGAATACAAATTCCCACAGCAGCAAGGTTTTGGATTTCAAGTGGCCAGAGCACGCAGCAATAGGAAATTCAGATCGAGTCTGAGAGCCGCATCCTGACTGGAGGTCATTGAGGCTATGGTGCTAAGACGGTTGCCTTCAAAGGAGGTCAGTCATCACCACTACTCATAGTAGTAAGTGGCACCTGTCTTACACAAACCTGCCTTCTGGCCAACAAAACAAGCTTTGGTATAGGGGGTAGAGTGGCGCAATATGTGTGGAGACCTACCTTCATTGTGTCCTTGGGCAGTTCTCTCTTCAGAGGCATCTGCCATTGCTGAGTAATTGGCTCAGCTACTTTGTAACTGACTATTTCTTTGTAGTGTGTAAATATTTATTTGCATAAATATTTCTTTACATAAATATTAATGCATATCACAGATCTATGAGGTGATAAATTAAAGGTGTCCCATAGGGATGTTTACAGCTCATTTGTTTGATGGATTATTTTTTTAAGGTTGAAAAGGGGTTTCTTCCTCCCTCCCTCCCCCTTTTCTTCCCAGAGATTGAGAGTGGATGAAAACGGTTTCAGATTGTTTATCCATAGAAACAATGTGATTTATCTGTAGTCTTGGTCTCTGAGAATGAGCAATGCAGAAAGCAGTTGTAATTTAATACTAAGCTGATGAGAGGTGCATTGATTTTTACAGCAGGTGAAGATTATGGAGGAGTAGCCTCTAGCATTACTTGTGGAGCAGGTAAGGGAACTGTCTAATTTTTTGCCCGGTGGTGACAGTATAGATTTTTTTTTTTTTTTAACACGACTCAGCAAAAATACTGTTCTACGGGCATCATAGCCAGCTGCTTTAGCTTTTGATTTCCAGTTAACATATCTCAACAGTTTTGCTATATCTAGGTCTTCTTTTTCCTGGGGACTGAGCATGTTGTTTATTTGCTCTTTTTTTTTGGAAGGAGAGAGAAAAGTAGTTTTATTTTTAGTTCATTGCAGGCACCTTGTGAATGTTTCATTTTCTCTTCCCCATTCAGTACACTTCTGTGATGGTCTGAGAACAGAAGAAACTCATTTTACTGATGGAATCTCACTGTTTTATTTGCAAATAACTTGAATTACTGCTGGGGAAGAGGGAAGGCGAGGAGAGCCAGGCATGTTCCTTGTTGTAGCTTTTCAACTCCACATGGTTTAAACTTAAACTTTTTCCTAAACTGCCACTCCCGCAGAACCTGTTGTTGAAAATAGTGGGGAATTCAGGCTTCTGTTTTCATTTATGACTCAGCAAAGTTAACAGACTGTTAAATTACTGAAGCAGCTTTGATGCGATTTCCTGTGTGCAAGAAGTGGAGAAAGCCAAACCTATTACGTTACACATTACTGTTCGATGTAAAATAAAAGGTGCCGCTTTAGTCCCCAATTCCGAGTGAATATATCACTCCCATTTGCTTTCATTACAGTTACAGTGAGTACAGCAGAAGCAATCATTTAAATCCTATGTAATACAGCTCTCTTTGGGAGAGCAGTACTTACAGGTGCTGCAGAAAATAAGTTTCTCTTCGTAGAGGCAGGGGGAGGAGGCTGGCGGTATAAAAGAGCGCATCTTCAGGTAAAGCTAGCAACCCCTGCAAAGGCTCCTGAGGTGGTGGGGCCGGCCGTTGTTCACGAACCTTGGTCTAGCCCTGGCCCTGCTCCAAGCGCTTTGTTCTCTAAAGGTGCCCTGACAGGGACTTACCCTCCAGCACTGGAGCAGGCGATGCCTCCTTAGCTGTAAGAGAAAGTGCCCGATGCTGCTCAGCAGCCGAGGGAGAAATCTCCCCGAAAGTGGTATTGCTCTGTCGCAGTTATTGCGAGCTTTGACAGACCGTGATTTACTCGGTTGGTGCGACCAGGGCTTGTGCATCGTCCTCATGGTTGGCGGCGAGCGGCTGTGCCCTGCCCATTTCCCAGTGGTAGCTACATTGTGTGTTCGACTTTGTTTGCCCAGTTTAGGAGGCTGTTCTGCCTCTTAGCAGTTCTTTCCCCATCAGTGGTTACAAGCAGACTGAGAGGCTGAATGTTAGCAGTTTCGTTTTTTAAAAGATAAATATCTACAGTGTGAGACACTAATACTGCAGGGTCCAGATTTCTTAGCCTCTCATTCAGTATGCTCCATTTTGTCGTTCTTCAAGCATCCATGGGAGATACATATTAAAACTCTGATGAAATCAAAATCCAGCATGCAAAGACATCACAAATAATGTTATCCCTGAAGAAGGCTTTTCTCATTTTTTTCCTTCGGTTATTTTGAGGGAAACACTGCTCTCGTGGCACCAGCTGGCTGTCTATCTCTGTAAACCTTTTTTGCTGCTGTAAATCGGGATATACAGTGAAATTTTCTGTAGCGGAGGGAAGCCGGCAGTTGGGCGTCTGTTAATAGCCTGAAAGTAACTAATGAGGATGTGCAGTCGGAGCGATTGATTGAATAGCTGCAGTCCTGTGTGTTTCTTTTTCGCTCGCTCGCTCGCTTGCTCTCTGCAAGCTGTGGGAAGGGAGGGGGAACGGAGAGACCCAGCTTTCTCTTAAGTGGAAGTAGCACGGATCCCCAGGGCCAGGCGGCCAGAAATGGAAGTTTAAGCTGCATCTGTCTCTTGAAAGGAAAACGTCAGGAGTCAAAATGTCACTGTCTGGAGTCACGGCTTACTCCATTTCTTTAAGATTCAGAAGATAACAATGGACTTTCTGCTAGGCAGTGATTTTTTCCCTCCCCGTGTTGGGGGATGTTTTGTGAAGCTGGATTCCTTTAAGTCTGGCAATTGAGCCGGAGATGGGCAGCAGTTGTGATAAAGGTATCTGAATGTATACGTATGTGTATCTAGCTGTATATAAAAATGCATGTATGTACATTATATGTGTGTTTGTGTAGAGATTTTTGATAGTGTGTATACTTTATTATGCTATTATTCTAGTATTTATACTAGAAAAATATATAAGTGCGTCTTTTATTAATATTTGTGCTCATCAGATCAGCCTGCATGGATTTAAGATGCCAAAGTCATATCTTACTAAGGTCATACTGCCAGAATGAGGAGAAGTTGACCTATTTTTTTTATCTGCAGAGATATATATGTCATATTACCCAGGCAGTTACGAGTCTTCTGCTGGTTGCATGGTTTGAGCAAGTAGTGTGATCATATAAGACCAAACTTGGACCTTTGTCAAATTGCGTTCAGCTGTGACTAAAATTGAGCTTCCCTGTGTCTCGATTTTACTTATCTGTTAATTACTGCATTGCTTTTGTAAAAAAAAAATAAAATAAAATAAAAAAATTAAAGTTCTCTGAATACTATCTCATGAACAGTAATAGAATACTAAATATGTTTGGTTATTGATCTTTACCAGCATTTTTTTTATTTTAATTGCCTATTGCCTACAATCAAGTCAGATTCACAACCTTGAATCTGTCAGTGAAAGTGCCATTGTAATTTAGTAAGTAAATAAGATATAGAAAAATAAGTGAGTGTAATTCAGCAGTTTAGTAATGCACTTGAAACTTTGCTGAAGCGTCTGTCCTGTAGAGCATAAAACCTGACTATTCCCCACCCCCCAGCACCCATTCACCTTCTTTTTCTTCTCTTCCTTAGAGGTCCCAGCAGAGAGATCTCCTCGCAGACGGAGCATCTCCGGGACCAGCACCTCTGAGAAAACCAACTCCATGGATGCTTCGAATACTTCTCCTTTCAAAGTGCCAGTAAGTGTGCCTTTCCTGCAAAGGAGGAATTTTTCTCATTGAATAGGAGGAGGAGATTAAAATTTCACAGTTTATAACTAAGCTCGGGGGGGGGGGAGATGACTATTTAGTTAATATTTCTAGTTGATCAAGAGGTATTGCTATCAACTGTCATGTATTATCAATGAGACTTCTGGTAGATCCGTAACTTGCTTATTTTCATTGGATTAATCTAAAGTTGCAAATCGTGAAACATCAGTGTTAATGTGGGCAGCGACCTATATAAATACTTTTGAAGTCACCACCAGGGATTGCATTACATATTCAATTTTGACTAGGAAAAAAGTTCCTTTAGGTTGGTGATAGTATGTTATTTTTCCCTCATGTCAGTGAAGTACATAGAAAATTGAAATTACTTGATAGTTTACCTAGAAGCTGATGAAATTTCTGCAGGTGTGCTAATTGCTCTTTAGCTCTTCAGGTTTTGTTGTGAGTTCGGTTGGCTGCGAGTCTGCATGAGACTTTTTCAGCTAGAGTCCAGATTTTCTTGCATGTGTCAGTCTTTGGTCAGTGTATCCAAGAGCACAAAGGCCTTTCTATTATTAGACTGAGGGCAAATGCTTCAAGTTAAAATGAGGTGCTCAGTAATTTTTTTAACAGTATTTGTTTGTGTTTTAAAATATCTAACTTGAATATTGCAAATATTTTCATACCTCTCTTTATTTTTGGCAAGTAATCTGCCTACTAAAACCTGAGGAAAAACAGGAGAAGAATTATCTAGTGAACATTGGGGGGTTTGTATATTCTCTATGGACATGAGTACCATTTCTGTACATTAGTGTGTTGATGTTCTTGATTTGCTTTAGATAGTACTCATCCCTTTTAAGCACACTTCCTAGCTCACTTTACATCCAAATGTGTGTGCACTTGTTTTTTGATTATATCCTAACTTGTATCATTTTAAAAATAAAATAACAGCCAAGGATTTAATGAGACCTGTTTAAATTATAAAGGGATTAAGGTTGGTCAGAGTATATAGAATATATGGTGGTTAAAGCAACCTGTAAACTCGTGATTCATTGGAGTTGAAAAAGGGACTGAGGAAGCAGTAACTATACTGGGTACCCATACTTGGTCCCTTTTCTGAGTCATAGAGTAATACAGGTTGGAAGGGACCTCCAGAAGTCTCTGATCTATCCCCCTCTTCAAAGCTGGACCAACTTATATCAGGTTGCTCAGGGCATTCTCCAGTCAGCTGTTGAAAACATCCAAGGATGCAGATTGCGTAGCCTTGCTGGACAACCTGTTCTGATGTTTGACTATCCTTATTGTGAAGAATATTTCTTTTGTAAAGGCTTTCTTGTCAGAACAAAACTTGAACTTCTAATGTCTATTGAAAGACCATGAATCACATTTTCCTCTAGTTCAAAAAAAATATCTGAAGTAGCAGTTAAAGCTGAATATAGTGCTTAGCCTTGAGAAGAGAAAGCTCAGAGGGAAGCCTTAGCAATGTGTATAAATACCTGATGGAAGGGAATAAAGATAATGGAGCCAGGCTCTTTGGGCAAGAGGCAGTGAACACAAATTGAAAGAAAATCCATTTGAACGTAAGAAAAACCTTTTTTCACTGTGAGGGTGATCAAACACTGGAACAGGTTGCCTGGAGAGGTTGTAGAGTCTCCATTCTTGGAGATATATTCAAAAGCAGACTGGACCCATGGTCCTAAGCATCGTGCTCTAGTTTACCTGCTTTGAGCCGGGGGGTTGGACTACACAATCTCCAGAGGTGCCTTCCTACCTCAGCTGTTCTGTGATTCTATGAACTATCCTCTGTCACTTCAATGACCTGTTTTCTGGGTGGTACTTGGGGGGGGAAAAAGGGTCTTGGTCTAGTTGCCTGTGAAGGTGTCACAAGAATATTCTGTTACGTCAAGTTCTGAGTTTTTTATGCTGAGCCCATGGTCCACACAGTTCCAGGTGGATTTCTGAACTCGGAAAGCCTTGAAAAGTCCTAGCTATTCTTCATTTATAAGAAATTCTCTGTCATCTTTTGTCTTCATCTACAAGTAATTGCCCTAGCCTTTAGATGTATACATGCGTTGTCATAGTCTTTGTCTAACTGCAAGCTACATATCAGAAGCATTTGATTACTATCTGTATTGTTTATTTTATATGCCTCCTTTTTTCTTTGTTCCTCATTTTTGTACTTTTAAAATGTTGATCCTCTCTTTTAAGTAATGTTTTAATGTTCCTCTAATTCTTCTCTAATAAGTTCTCTAATACTTCTTAGCTCCTGCTCCCTTTCAAAACAAGAACCTTGCAGAATGTTTCTCATTTCCCCTGCAGTGTATTGGGCTTTTAGGACTCTGGCAAATAAGCTCAGGAAGCAGTACATGGCTGTCTTTCTTGGGCATAAACCAGCAAAAAAAATAGAAGCTATTTGTGCCACGTGTAGCTGGTAGTATGCTTCTTTGTCTGCCTGGCCACCTGTACACCCAGGAGCATAATGCACCCTCCTGTCTTTCTCATAGGGACAAAGCTTTTGGCTTTGTAGGTTTTGCTCAGAATAACCCATTTGTATGCTGTTACTCCTTAGCAGGTTGCGGTGCAGGTAGGGGCTGAGATCACACTGTTTTAAAACATGCCAACTTCTGATCTGTTTAAAAGAGCAAGCTGCAATTAGAAGTCAGATTGCTTAAGAATACAGATGAGCTGAAGCCAAAACTACTGAAATAAAATACCCTGTTAACTTTGTGGATTGGCACACATCTAATAGGTGGGTGATAAGATGGGGAAAGAATCATGTTTCTTCCTTTGATTTATATTAAGAATTTCCCAGCTCTCAGAAGTAGGTAAGATGACTTGGGCGCCTCTCAGAAGTCTCAGATCAGTGGTCTGAGAAGAGCTTCAAATGAAGGATGTAAGGGGTGCCTATAACAGCTTTAAATTTGTGTGTGTGTGTGAGGTCATCTTTATTTGACAGGATTTATTGTACATATAAAGGGGATTAATAATAAGAGAACTTGCATTTTTGTTTTTCCAAACTTTGACACCAACAGTACAGGTTGGAGGGCTACAGCCAGCTGCAGTGTAGTGCTGTCTCAGTTATTCTTTCCGTGGACCTGACTCTGTGCCATACCTCTTCTACTCACTGCTTGGATTTCTAACAGAAAGCAGCTTAAGGCAGGGGACAGCTTAACCTTCTTCCATACTGATGGAAAATTATGCTGAGACTTTCATAATAAGTTGCTTTTACAGCTTTTTAAGTTTGCCACTCAGAAAAGCTATTTAAAAGCTGTCTTCTCAATAGGGCAGTGGCTTCCAGCATGTTCTGTGCAGGTTTTTTTTTTTCTTTCAAACACCAGGCAGTGGTACTCACTCAGAACAAAGCATCTGTTTTATTAATACTGCTAATTGGCATTTCTTTAGCATCTGGAATTTTGATTCATAACAGCATAATGGCCTTTAAGCGAACATTTCCTTGACAAGACATTAAGTAGTCTCTTCAGTAGCAGTGGTCAATGAAGGATTTCTTTTAAGGGGCTGATGTGTAAAGTTCAGGAGACTTACCTTCCTACCTCCTGCATGTGCACTGGAGGAAAAGACATATGTTTAAATTTACTATTGTGTGAAAATTGTAGAATTTCAGTAGTTATAAACATACCTTTTCTCAGGATTAACCGCTACATGGACCAGCATGTAGAATGTGTTTGTTCTGGTTATCTCCCACTAAGGGGGACAAAGTGGATTCTGCTGATGCTTACATTGCACAGCACAAGCCATACATACAGAGGTAAGAGCTCTTGGTGCTTGTCCTTTCTTCCCCATTCTTGTCCTTTCCTTCCCCATTTCCCCAAATATTATTGCCTGCAGTTAAAACATTAGTCTCCATCTAGGTTCAGTTGTGTTACTTGCCATTTGAGAATTTCCAAGCATATCTGGGAGGAATATTGAGAGAGAACGGAAGGACACGAAAGGTAGGAAAATTGAGATGAGGAAGCGTGTAAGTGTGTCTTCTCACATATAGACAGATGTGTGCTGTTTATAGATATGCGTATATAGGAAAAGTCATATTTTTAATAATGAATATTATTTGACTGAACAAATAGGAAGGCAGACGGAACTGGCTAGAAGTAGGTATTGTGACGCATAGGTGGGCGAGAAACCAGCTTTTCCCTTCCCACACACACTATGTCCTGGCAGAGTCTCAGTCTCAGTGCATCCTGTTCCCTACTGTTGCACTGTTGAGCCCCAGTAGCACTGTGGCAACCTACCATATTCTCTCGTTGCTCTGCCATTGGAATTGAGGGACTGGGGTAAATATGAGATGATCAAAATCTTCAAACCTCCTGCAGTGGCAGGGTAGAGAGGAATTGCTAAACCACTCTTCAGACTCACATTGCACTCTCCAATTTTTGTTTCTTTGGGGTAGGGTTGTTAGTGAGTTGTTATTACAAATAATATATGATTCATCCATGTCTGCTGGCTATTAGAAATAAAAGACGAGAAAGAGGCAAAGAAGCAAGTGCAAATGAGATAGGAAGGTCAAAACACAATCTATGAAGTAAATAAAATTATTTTTGTAGGATCCCTGTGTGAATATGATGGGAAGACTGATACAGATTGCCTTCCTTGGTTTGTTTCTAGTCAAGAGTATAATTGGATCTATAGAAATACTGTCTGCCTCTTTGCTCTTTAAGAGTACAGCTAAATGGAACAGAAGACAATGCAGCCAGCCTAAGTGAAGGTCAAAGCTTGATGAGATCTCACGGCTGCCCAGCCTCATCTTTTATGCAGTCAGCAAGATTGTTGCTTCTCCAGAGCACTGCTCCGCTACCGTCATGCTGCCAGGTTAGGACAAGTCTAATCTTTTCTGGCCATGTGACCTGATGGCATACAAGTACATATTTTTAATTCTGCATTAGCACCAATGCAGAGATGGAATTCTTGATTTACATTAATGTGAGGCATCGTGGCATGCTTCATGAAAAACTGCTCAAATCTGTCGTCCCTATTGTAAG